TAGTTTCTAGTAAAAGAATTTATTTTTTAATTAAGGGAGTTCAAGAATTAAAAGATAAATAAAATATTATTTTTATACTCTTGCAACATGTATAATAATTTTGTTCAAATACGTTTTTGGTAAAATTTAATTTTATTTATATTCATTTAGTTCTTTAATTTTTTAAAAGTTTTAAATTTTTAAAAAATATTTGTGTTTGGAATTTCCAAAATAACAATAAAATTTTAATATGGACAACGTTAAGTGTGTACAGAATATTATGTCTTAAAAAAACATTATTTGGAGAATTTTGTCGTTTCTTTTCTTAAATTTTTTTTTCGAAATTACATAATTATTTTATACGTAAAAACTTAAATTTCAGTATTAAATAGATTTTGTCTTTTGTTAATGATAACAACTTAAACAATTTATTTTTCATTTTCTCATGCTGTTTAGTAAAATAACGAGGTAAGATTTATTTGCCTTCTTATGAAGTGCACAAGTAAACATTACAGTTAAGATTTGGTAAAATAATAAATGAAGAAACAATTTTTTTGATTTTATTTGGTAAATTAATATTTATCTCCTCATTACTATTGTGACTGCTCCAATTAGAATATTTTTTAAACTAATATTTATAACAAGCACTTTGCTTACTAATCTCTAATTTAAACGTTTCATATTATATACAGGTAAAATAATTAAATATACGTTTTGTATATGTAGTAAATACGGTAATAAACTTAATCGAAGACTTAAAAGAATTTATAAAGCAATCGCAGCGCCATGGACAAATATGTCTTAAATATTCATTTTTTGACTTATACAAGTATTAAGTTATTGTTTAAACGAAATCCATAAATACTGCTATGAACTTCGTAAGGCAATATTTTCGTTAATTATAATTATATAAATACTTTACATAACTACAACAAAACATAACCTTAAAAGTGTATATAAACATAAATAAATTGCCAATGCTTCCAGCAATCCACACAAGGAAGTGTTGAGCCAGCCGGCACCCACACCTGCTACAATTGTAGCATTTGATGTGTTGAAAATACAAAACAATGCTCCGAAATTATTTAGGTGTGGTTGTTGAGCGCAACAGTTACACTTATTAATTTTTTTTTAAATAAATAATAAAAAAATAATATATATATATAAACATTTCAAATATCATTATATATGTATGTATGCCAATTATTTTTCCTGTTTCTAGGCGATTAATTCCAATTTACTGTTTTCCTAACGATACTCGTTGTATAAAACAGGCAATTACATAAAAATGTAACGGCGCAAACGAAAGACTTAAGCAACGAACTTTTCTGCCCTCACCACTCATTATGATTATTTGGCTTAATGTTAATGCGATTGCCAGTCGGTAATGAGGCAAAATCGAAAATTAAATGTAACGAATTGCCAGTAAATAAACAAAACGCTGGAGAAGTGTGGAAAGACAAGTCGCACTAAAGCAGCGCACGAGATGGACCCTTGAGCGCAAATGGACACTCATTACAAACGATTTTTGTGTGAGTATGTGTGCATGTATGTGTGTTTGGGTACTTTGACTGGCTATTTGTGTATCCAACGGTTTTATATTTGTTTTGCTTTCGATTTAATTCGAAGTACGATTGATTTTGCACAGCGCAAACACCAGCGATTTGCATTATGCACGCCAATTGCGAATGCGCATACATAATTAGAGCAATAACAAAGACTAACATTAAAAATAAAAAAGTATGGAGCGCAAAAACAAAATTGTAGCAAGCTAGCACTTTTACTAACAGTTAGACATGTTCATTTTGCAGGCACGGTGTAGTATTGCAACAGAGGGGCATTGCAATGAGCGGCAGCGCGGTAAGAGCGTCAGTGAGTGAGTGAACCTGGCAGTTAGACAGTGTTGCAAAAAGCGGTTTCAGTCCGTAGCATTTTGTGGTTTTTCTGCCGTCGTGCGGCGGCTTGTGCGAAATCGCAAGGAATAGGCCGGTAATGGGGATTGAGGGCAACAAATAACGGCGGGAGCGCTCACCGTGGGATGCAATGCAAAAATGTGTTATAGCCACCGCGGTGGCTCACCACATGCAAAGTGGGTTTGCTGATATTTATGCAAACTTTTTAGTAGTTTTATCATTGTTTTTTTTTCTTCTGCTGATTAGAAATTATGCAACGAAAGCGAAATAAAATATGAAGTAAGAGAAGAAATTTTATTTCCCCGAAATAAAAAGTATATGAAGCATTAAAAAGCAAGCCAAAGCAAGAGAAGTAGCAAGCGGGTAAAAACAGCAAGCGTTAGTTAACAAAAACAAGCATTAGACAACAATAACAACAAGCGTAGCCATTAAGCGAAAATAAAGCTGCCGATGGAGACCCAGCACGAAGTGGAGGATACAAAATTATATATTGGTAGAAGAGTATAGTGATTTTCAGAGGGATATAGATGTAAAATATAACCAAAAAACAACAGCAATTGTTTGCTTAGATAGTTTTTTTTACTTTTCTTGTTTAAGATCTTCTATGATAAGGTATATATATATATATCCAGTTTAAGACTGTCAAATGTCCGTAATATACTCTCTTTTTCTTCTCTTTGCCACCAATTTTAAGATACAGCTGAGTTTCAAAGTCCAAGATAGACGTGAAGCAACTGAACTCAAAGTACTCTAAAATAATTCTTGAACCATTTAAGATCATTACTCATAGGGTCTGACTGAACCGTAATCGCATATTATAGAAAAGGTATTACAATACATTTAGACTTAAGGTCCTCATGCACAGACTATGTCACGTATATCTGGTCCGAAAGAGCTTCTTAAAAATATATATGCATAGATGGGAGACAATTTTAAGACTAGTTGGAGTCTTTTCTATAAAATAAAATAAAGAAATGAGAGAAGAACTTTCTCAAACTCGGGGCTGAGTTGTAAAACACATTTTTTATGATTTCGTGCTCCAAAACTTAATCTGGCTCCAACTTCTCAAAACTTAGTGGAGTAGTTCGTTCCAATTCCGCTCATAAATCCAGTTTAAGACTGTCAAATGTTTCAAAAGAGGCAATAGAGAACTTAAACTTTGACTTTTTATGAGCGCAATCTATGAAAAAGTTAACAAAAGGTTAAAATAGCAGGGAATGTATTTTATACATTTATTTTCCATGCTTGTTTTATAATAAACAAGCTTAGACTTGTGATGATCTGCTATCTATTGGCTATGGCTACTACCAACATCGAATTCACTAAGGACCCCAGCGAGCTTGTGGTTGCAACTTGACTCTACTCCAACTGTTGGAGCTGGCGTTGCCCCCAAAATGCAGGAATAAGCCAAAAATTAATAGCGATTTCGATTTTTTCGAATTAACAGCTCAATATTAAAGGTTAGTTAAATTTATTTATTTTCAATGAGGAGTCATATTTTGACTAATTTTTATACTTAATTTCAAACATAATAATTTTTTAGTAACAGTTCGACTGCTGACTAGCTAATAATGAATTGAAACCCAATGGCTAAATATTGAAGCTTTGTTTTGAAAAAATATATATAATATATATAATATAATATAAAAAACTTTGGCAATCTGTTTTACAAAACTAAAATTTTCAACTATCAAAATAAAAAAGAAAGCACACGCACACAGTTAAACGTACATTCAAATTCGTAGCAGAAGCAAATATAATACATGGCATTTATAGTTTAATTAATTCACACCTTGAGGGCGCGATTGAATGCATGATTACTTGCGAAAATAAATTGGTAGGTAAATACAATTGTGTTTACAAACATGAGCGATCAATAAAAAATTGAAGACGAAAGTACAAAGCTATCTAAAATATGAAAAAATTGAAAGTGAAATGGAAAAGGCGATAAGAGACTACCATAAAACAAAAAATTGAATCAAAATGTTTGCGAATAGATTAAACGAGCCAAAATCAGCACAAACTTGTACAACTACGCGTGCAAAATTTGCCATAAAAGCGAAAGCAGTAGGGTGACCACACGCAATTAAAAAAATCAAGTCTTAATAAAAATGAATGTAGCGACAAGGGTTAGATAAATACATACAAACAGTGCATAAACATAAATATCTGAAAGTCGCGCCAATCGTTATGGCACTTAAGTCTCCAACAAAGGCGAAACATAAAAATTGTGTAATAATAGAAAATTAATTTATTCGAGCTGAAATGCCTTTCGGCACAAAATTGAGGTGCTGAAGCACGAATTGCACTGCAGTATAATACAAAATGTCATCGGAAACAATGATACTAAATGGTGAAATTATATTTCAGCGTTCGAATTTAATGAGTTGAATTTCTTAAGAGAGCGTTGAATATCATATAATTACGGTTGCTTGCAGTGAAAATAAATTAAATTATAGCTCAGCGCTAGAAATAAGGGAACCGAATTGCTGAAAATGGCGCTTAATAAACATATAATAAATTCAGTTTTTGGAAAATGTTTTCATATTCTAGAAAGACAAAAGTTATTAGTGAAATTCAACGCTTAAAGTTAGCGATCTGAATTCCTTAACATAGCGCTGAATAAGCACACAATGCAAGCTTTTTTAACGCAGCTATATTCCATAAAAACGTATTGAAAGGTGCGCTGAATAAGTTAAAAAGAATAAATTTTCATATGCTGCTTTTACTATAATAAAGTTGATAGAAGTATTATATTTACTTGTATTTCAAAGAGTAAAGTTTACTGATTATATAAAATTCCTTTTCGGAAACAAATTAATTCGAAATTAACGAATTAATTTTTCATGAGCTCAATATGTGACATGAACATAAAACAGTTTTACATATTGTTGAATTTAATTTAAGAGAAAATCACACATATATTTTGCTTGCATAATTTTGATGAAATTTAAATTTATAGATATTATTTTTAATACCAAAATGTGCTGAGTTAAAAAAATATTATTTCATATATCTAAAATGAAACAAAATTATAGTCATTCAACACGTCACTAAACTTTTTCATAAACTAATATCTATTAGAATAATATAATTGCTTTCACTCACCTCATCGAAAACTTCCTGTAGATCCAAACCATGCGTCGCATTCGCCTCATCGCGCACGGTCCACATACGTAGCGTATGCGGGGAACCGCCCTTAAACAGACTATCCGTTCTCTTCAAGGTTAAATTCAAATTCTCACCAAAAGCATTAAACGAAACTTTGTGCTCTTTTAACTCGCGTAAATCACCAACAAATTTGCCATTCGTCGCTTGCTGTAGACTATTCACTCCACCAGCACCTGGCGTATTAGCGGCCGCTTTTAATTCACTATAATAAGGATTTTTACTCAAATCCTTCTTCACATGATGTGGTTCCTTGATGGTTAGACGAGCATCTGCATTGAATGCATCACTATTGATGCTGCGTCTCCGACGACGACGATAATGTTCGGGGAGTGACGCTAAGCCGTCGTCGAAACTGTTATGCAGGAGCTGCACGACTTCATAGTGCGGCACGGCATTCACATCGTCGACATGGAACACCGACTGCAGTTGTGTGGGTGACATTTGTTTGTGATACTGTAAAGAAAGAAGTGGTGGATGATTTAGTTATAGATTTTGGGGACTGTACTACAATATATAGAAATAATTTTATATTGACATTCACCATGTTCGAGCCGCCATTGGTTTTTGAGGCTTAGATCTAAATGTGATATCTGAGACCACTGTACTATAACATATTATTATGTATTAAAATATAACCAAAAGTATTCTGAAAGCCATTAATTTAAAAATATATAGAGTTGCCGCCCTTCAAAAATATTTAAATAAAAAAAGTTAATAACATGGTATAAGATATAAGTTTTTCAGATTGTTTTTGGAAACTATGAATTTGAAAATATATTTTAGAACACAGTTGCCACTTATCCAGTAAGTTAAAACAAACAAAAAATTACTTGCATTAATGTATATGTCTATTTGTCCAGTTGTCGGCTGTTGACACCGAAATTTAATTGAAATTAAGGTCAGAGTTGCCATTTTTCACAGAATAATGTACGCGTACCAAAGGTTTTTTGTGAACTAAACATACATAAGAAATTCCTCAAAATTTTGTGTGGAAAATATAGGTAATTTTTTTTTTTTTAAATTATTTTTCGAATATATTTGGTTTTTTTTCAGTGTAAATTCAAATAAAAATTGTTATGATCCTATCTGCTGCCAAGTTTAGTACTTTAAAGCCTAAGCCACATTGTTGAAGCAGTAAGAAGTCATTTGTTATCGCTTTGCTTTGCATTTTTTGCCTTTATTTAATAGACTTATGCCTTGTAAGCAGCTATTAGCCTAAATTTACGGCAAATCACGTACAAATGTAAAGCGATTAAACAGAAGTTCAAATGACTGCACATCGATGCGGCGGACGGTGGGGGTTACACCATTAGGACGCCATTTAAGCACTTAACCCTGACCTAATTCACACAATGTCAAAGTATATGAAAAAAAATGTATTTTTATCGAAACACTTCAAGAGGTTGGCAGGGCAAGTGAGCTGTTAGAGCGATAAACACGACTGGATAAATGCTTAGAGAGGTAGAGGTGAGTAATGTGGTGGGAGTGATAACAAAACTGTGCAGCGATTAGTCTGAGTAGAATGATGGCTAAAGGTACTTGAAATATCAAGGTAGGCGAGCGGTTAAGGTAATAATATTTGGTGATGCTGGCAACACTACACATTCAGACAAACTCTCACGGTCTGTCAGACATTTGATAGTCAGCAGTAAACGTAAATTAGCATTTAAATTGCTACAAATAGTTAATAATAATTAATCGTTGTCTCTGTTAGACCTTCTTGGCTGTAAATACTTAAACATTTTTCTTTACAAAATACATCTTATATGTTTATCTGAGAATTATATTATGCGGAAAGCAAAGAGTAATTTAAACATAAAAATTATGTTAGAAAAGAATTTAGTAATATAATATTGAAGTGATGAAGTACGAACTGCACTTGAATTTGTGGAGCTGAATTGCTTAAAAGAATTTTTGAGAACTGTCTCCATATTTTATATTAACAAAGAAAATTATTGAAATTATAATTCAAAGCCTAAACTAGGCAGCTGAATTGCTAAAAAGAGCGCTGAATAAGCATACAATGCATGTTGTTATGAAAAGAGTATCCGCATTCCCTAAAAACGTATTTCAAATTGTGCTCAATAATTTAAAAATGTTAAATTTTCATATACTGCTTTCAGTAAAGTTGATTAGAGCCTAATGTTCTTGTATTGTGATTGTACGAAACGTATTGATTGTAAAAAGTTCATTTTCACAAACAAATATTATATTTAATCAAATAACAGAAATATATTTATTTAAACTTGACAAATGCTGAAGAATTTTTTTGCATTAAATAAAACAAATTTACAACTTATATGAAATAGTTCACAGGTAAAAGCAAACAGTTTTAAACAAAAATTGCCGAAAAAATTATTAACAAGAGAAATAAATTGGAAAAAAGTGGTATAAACTAAAAAATTAAAATTTTTTTGTTATACATATGTAATTAAATTTTGGTTTTAACATTTAAACGTCAAATTCTATAGAAACAAATTGTATAAACAAACCCCTCTAATATAATATATATTCATAATCTATATTTAAAAATCATTAACAAATGTGTATAGAAAAACCTAACGAAATTTTAATATATAAAACAAAATAAAAAAACTAAAACTAACCACTTTCTCATAGAACTCTTAGCTAGTGAAGGAATATATTTTATAATGATAATATATTGATAATATTAAATTAATACACTCTTTTTCTTAGAAATTCTCAGCATTTTTAAATATGAAAAACTTATTTTTTAGTTTTCACTAAAGTGCTTTTTGAAATTTTTTTATTATTTTTAAATAATATAAAATGTTCTCCTTCATTGGCTTCTTTTCTTAGAAATATTTTCTTAGAAATTATAAATTGTTTAGCTTTAGAAAGTATTTCTAAAAATATCAAATGCACAAAGTAAAGAAAATTAAATTTCATATGGAATATATGTAGGTATATAAATGAGGTTAAAAACAAGAAAAAACGTCAATTTCGGTTGCACCGAAGCTATAATACTCTTCACAAATACAAAGGTTTCTCACAAGAACTTGCTTACGATATAATTTCGTGAAGATATCTCGTCAAATAAAAAAGTTTTCCATGCATGTACTTTATACCGATCGTTCAGTTAATATGGCAGCTATATGCTATAGTCATCCAATCTATACAATTTCTTCAAAGATTGCAATATTGCCTTAAATAACAATCCATGCCAAATGTCGTGTAGATACCTCGTCAAATGAAAGAGTTCTCCATACACGCACTTGATTTCGATCGTTCATTTTGTACGGCAGCTATATGCTATAGTGATCCGATATCGGCCGTTCCGACAAATGAGCAGCTTCTTAGTGAGAAAAGGACAAACGGACAGGTGCAAAATTTCTAATCGATAGCTTAAAAACTGAGTGACTAGTATATATACAGACAGATCGGACAGACAGACAGACGGACATGGCTAAATCAACTCAGCTCATCATGCTGATAATTTATGTACATATATATTTTATAGGGTCTCCAACGCTTCCTCCTTGGTGTTACAAACTTCGTGGCAAACGTAATATACCCTATTCAGGGTATAAAAAGGGCGAAAAAGTGTTGGGCCACCACGGCGTATGAGAAACTAACATGTCAGTTTCGCGGTAGATAGCTATGTAGGTTTACATTGCAGGAGTGGTTTCGAAGTTATAATTGAAGTAGGAATGACAAAGCTAATTGCGAAATATTTCTTTATTTTTTAGAACAACAATTAAAGACACCATCGTGGGAAAAGCAAACAATTTCTATATAGCATATACGTATACTAAGTTATACACCGATATATGTACGTGCAATAGATATACACATAATGTATGTATATTCAATATATATATATATATATATATATATGTATACATATACACATAGAAACAATTAGCTTCTTATTTATGCTATGCTTTATGCTATTTTATTATTTATGCCATTGTATATTTGTAAATCGCAACAGCCACTTCCCGTTACAGCAAAAAAACATGCAAATGCGCACGAATATTGAAAATACCATAAATTAAACAACTGCATTTGAATATATAAGTAAATACAAGCAACAATAATTGGATGTTGAGGATGGTCTGCTGCGTTACCACTGAAGCTGCTGCGACAGCAGAAGATTATACAAAAAACGCTTGACAACGGTTTAAAATCTCAAAAAAAACATAGTAAATCATAAAATGTAAAACAGTAAATGTACCGTTTGCATATAACAGTAAGATGTGCCACAATACCTTAAATAAGCAACGTCGGCTAAGCGCAAAGCAGGAGACGCGCCTTAAACGCATATGATACCATACATAAATATATATATTGACATGCATGTATATATAGTTATTGTTGCATTTGTTGTAAGCGCTAAAGCCAAGCAAATGCGACTAGCAGCGCTGTGATTGAGCTGAGCTGAGCTTGTGGTGTTGCTGGCTTGACTTGGTCTGACAAAATGTGGTTTGCCTTGTCGCTGCAGGGTTTTTTGGACTTCGTTGTGTCGCCGATACCCATGTCGGCGGCGTTGCTATTGTCGTCATAGTCATTACAAGCATATGTATATATTTATATATATATAATACAACTGCTTTTTCTTGCTGTTGTTGTTATTGCAGCGTATTGTTTTCGATTTACTTTGCTTTAGTTTTATCTTTTATTTATTTTAAAATTATTTTTATTTATATTATTTTGTTGTGCGCCGTTGGCCGGTGCACGTTGGCGCTGTTACATTTAAGTCAATCGTGCGCACTAGTTTGCGCATGCGCAATACTATTCGCCTCAACTTGATTCAGCGCAAAAACGGGCTGGGTCCATGGCTTTGTTTTAAGCTGTATATTTACTATGTTACTTTTTAAAAAAAATTCGAAGCTTAGTATTTACAATTAATTTGAAATTTATTTATTTTTACTTTTTGTGTATGTGTGTTGTTTATTGCTATTTTTAACTGATTTTTGCTCTACTTAATTGTATTTATGCCTTTAGTTTTTCAAAATCACTCATTCGAGGTGTTTAATTCGCAAGTAATTTCAAGTATCGATGTCTATACAACATTTGTTTGTTGTATTTGCAATATGTTTTCATACATTACATATGGTGTAGTATTGCCTTGTTTTTGTAAGCTTTGGCTTTACTTGTACTGGTTGCCTGACCGCCTAAAATCAGCTTTAAAACAGCTTGTTTGATTATTGTTAACTTATCTTAACTTTGATTTTTTGTATGTTTTTAATATGTTTGCTTACATATCTTTTATGTCAGTTTGTTGTTGTAATTTTTGTATTTTTTTTATTTCGTTTTCTTTCAGATTGTGGTTTAAACACTTGTCTAAAGTCGACGTTTAACACCTCGGTTTGGTAACTATTTTATTTGTATGGGAAATTCAACGGTTATAATTTCGTTTTTTAAACTTTATTAAAATTTATAATATTATCTCTTCAATTTATATCTTCATACGTTTGCATTCTATACAT